AGGGCCCCTCTGCATACCAGGGCTTCGTGCATAGCCTCTCCCCCAGCCTCTCCACCACAGCCTTACCAGGCGAAGTGGTTCCTACTTGCTTCTGTCTGTTTCCTAGGCTGTGAGCTGGGGACTGGGAGGCTGGGTAGAGAGCTCAGATGGTAGCCCCTCTTTTCTGTACTCGGGGCCAAGCCCCTTGTCTTCTGTATCAACAGGGCTGGGCATGTTGTCCATGCTCAATACACAAAAACAACTTCAAGTTTTTGAGTGGTAAGTGAAAAAGGATATTGTGGTCAAGTGAGTTTGGCAAATGCTAGCTTAAACAGGTTTCTCTATTACAGGGCTTCTCTGAGCCTTGAGGATGCCATTAAAAGGTTGGCCATGTATTGGGAACTGAAGCTGGGCAAAGCATGGGGAGCATTATACTATTCTACAGGCGTGTGTGGGAGCTTTTCCCTAAGTGTTTTGTTTTTGTTAATCATCACCTGAGGACATTTTTTCCACAGCTTTTTAGAGAGAGTGGGAGAAAGGGAGGGAGGGGGAGGGGGGAAAGAGAGAGAGAGAAAGGTGAGACACATTGATCAGTTGCCTCTTGCACATGCTGGACCAGAGCTGGAGGAGGATTCTGCCACATGTCCCTGACCAGGAATCAAGCCTTCAACCCTTTGCTAATTGGGACAATGCTTCAACCACTGAGCAACAACAGCCAGAGCCATATATATATATTTAATGCTGTTAATCACCATGAACCTATAGAAGAGAGAGAGACTATACAGTTTCCCAAACATATGTGTCCCCAGAAAACACACTGGGAGATACCAAGTTATTAAAGGCCAACGCTGAAGTCACATCTCAATGTATGTTGTCAAGACACAACTACCTCAACATTCAGACCATCTAGCCCCTTACCGGATGTCAAATCAAAGGTTTCTTCAGCTCCAGGCCACAGCTGTTTCCATCCTCTTGATAAAGTGCAAGTCCTGCCCTCTTTCGCTATGATTGGTCTTCTTGGACATGATCTGGGTCAGGCTCTGGTCTTCATTGTCCAGATGAACAATTCTACACTCACATCTGAGCTCCTGAGACCCAGGGCTTCAGAGATGAAGACACACACGTGCTCCTGGCCCACAGGATCCCTGAGCCCCAGCTGTGGTCTTCTTCAATCCAACCCCCTGATTTTTTAGGGCTTCTTCTCCCAGCAGATGGCTGCTTCCCTGAGCATCACTCCCATGAGGTTATCTCATCTGTAGATGGATCCATAAGCCCCCAGGGTAAGGGGTGGGGAGGGTTGATTCCCATGGGGCTTGTGGCAATGCTGAAGATAGGATTATAAACAAAATAAGCCACACAGGTTGAAAATAAACACTTTATGCAAAGACATCCTTTAAGGAGGGTGGAGTTCCCATCACAGACCTTTCCAGGACTGCTGCCCCGACCCAAGGAAAATGGGAGTAGGGACCAGGTAAGAGACCCAAAAGGGGCAGCCTGGAAGGAAACTGATGATAAATGGAGTCTAAAAGCAACGGAGAATGTGGACAGTTTGGGATGGGGTGGAGACAAGAAGAATCCCAGCTCATCCAATGTGGCCTAGAGTCAAGGTGCTAAACTCCTGGCTCCATCGAAGCACAAGCTCCTCACTTTTGGCTGCGGACAAGATACTGTAACTCTCATTCTTCAGACATCTCATGCGGGACACCTACATGGGGATCGGGCACACACACAGTCTGAGTTACAGAGCAAGGAGCTAGAGGCATGGAGGTGGGGGGTGCCGGAAGTCCCACACGGACCAGAGGCAGGCAGGCATGGGCACAGGGCAGTAGAGGGAAGGAGGAAACTCACATGTGGGGTTTTCAAGCTGCAAGAGACACCAAGTAGCCCAACACCCTCCTTTCAGAAATTAGGAGGCTGAGGCTGGGAGAGGAAGTGACTTATCCCAGACTTCTCGGTGAGTAATAGGGGAAGGCAAGACTACCACCTCAACACCTGATTCCCAGCCCAGCTAGGGTTCTTCCTGTGGTGCCCTCAGGGCCTTCGCCTCTCACCTGCAGCGTCCTTGCCAGACACCTCTGGCCTAGAGCGGGGGCGCTTGCTTATTCCAAGGCTGGGGGAATGGAGGAGAGCAAGAGCTCTGGTGGAGGCCTCTGCCCTGAGAGGCAAGTAGGAAACTGCTCTCCACATCCCTGCTGTTTGGAGCCAGGGGAAAGGGGTGTGGCCCAGAAAGGACACCCAACTAAGGTGACTAATTGAAGGGCTGATGGAAGGAGGAGGGAGCATGGCGAGGGACTCACCTTCTTCTCCCGGTTTCTCAGCAGACACTGTTGGCTCTTGAAGGCACAGTAGTTCGGGTACTGCACATAATCTGTGTCACAAATCTAAGCCAGGAGCCAGGGATGTTGAGGTGGGGAGATATCAGGAGCCTTACGAGACACCAGCCCTCCAGAGTAGGCCCGAGGTGGCAGAACCAGGGGCGGGGGTGTGGCCCTTGAGAACCAGACTTTACACACTTGGGGTGACCCCTTCTCTGAGGAATAGACCTTTGTCCCCTCTGCCTTTCCTATCTCACCTTCAGTCATAGTTCAGTTACTGGGAAAAAGTCAGGAGCCAGAGAGTGGGAAATGGCTTCCCTGCTGTTTGGTTTGCTGGGAAAGTGGCTGAAGAATGAGGAATGGAGAAGGGGGGCACTAAAGGTACAGAACACTGGAAGGGGGCCCAATTAGTGGTCCAGTCTCAGGGAGCTTCTAGTAATGGTTAAGTGAGGGAGAGGGTAGAACAAATTCTAATGTGTGACCTTGGCTGAATCACTTCCCTCTGTGGACCTCGCCTCCCCACCTATAAATCCAGGGGAGCAGCAGAGATGATTTCTGAGACCCCCTTCAGAGCGAGGGGCCCAGGGATAAGATCGGGACAGGGGCCCCTCAGCTCAGTGACCAGCCATTTCTTAAGCTGCCCCTACATTTCATTGTCTTAATTTCCCCTGTTAAACCACAGAAAAGAGGGGCCTGGCTCTCAGTTACAACAGGTGGTTCCACAGAGGAGGTAACTTTGGGGAGAGAGGGAACAATAATGCCATTGAGCAGGAAAAGCACCGGAAGAGCTAGGGAAGGAGGCTGTCAGACCTGGGGGTGGGGGGCTCACACATCATTTGTTGTACAGATGAGTATAACTTTGGTTTAGAGTGGGAAGTGACCTGACCAAAGCCCCTTGGCAGGCAACTGGCAGAGCTAGGACCAGAACCTCTGTCTCCTGACTCCCAGTCTTGTTCTCTCCCACCCCTCCCAATTCCTACTCCTTTGCCAGACACAATCCTTCTCGTGTGTGTGTGTGTGTGTGTGTGTGTGTGTGTGTGTGTGTGGTCTATTGAAGAGAGGCAGCAGGTTCAGTGAGGACTGGTTCTTAGAAGCCAGGGGCCCAAACCCCCTTCCACATCCTAGGGTTGCCTAAAGCAAGTAACCAGAAGGAATTGGGGTAAGTGGGGTGGGTTGAGCTCTGGGGAAAGGCTCTGACCTTGGTGGGGAAATCTCCATCCTGGAAGCTAAGGAACTCAGTCTTGAGCCAGCCAGCTACTCGACTGTCTTCGCAGCCCTTCGTGGCTAGCAGAGCACACCAGAAATCCATGCGGAGCCCGCCATAAAAATCCAGCCCGTAATAGCGGCCCGATTTTACGGTCCCCATCTGTGGCACAGGGGACAGGGGAGAGGTGCGCACCCCTGCCCCCCTGCAGGCCTCCCTTCGGATATCCAGAGCCTAAGCCCACCCCCCGCCCACTGCAGGCTGCTCAGCTAGCTAGGTACCTGTGTGCCGGTGGAAATGCTCTGCGATGAGAGCAAGGGGCTTGTGAAGGGTGTTTTGTGGGAGTCGTCACACTGCTGCCGCAACAGGCTGGCCTCCGATTGACATTGCTCCAGCTTCAGGGAGCAGAAGGCACAGAGGGGACAGACAGCTAGGTGCCGCCGCCCAAGGCTGTCACAGACCTAGGGCAGGAGTGTAGTTCAGAGGCTGAGGCTGAACCTGTCCCACACCTCAGCCCTCCAGAGCCATTCCCACAAATGTCTTTGAATTCAGGCTCTTCTGAAAGCTTCTCTGGCTTTTCTCCCTCTCCTCCTGCCCAAGGGTCACTTAGGGACCTCAGCTCAGATCTCTACTTCTTCACCCTCTTCCTGGATGATTTATCTGCTCCCAGGTAATCTTCATCTCTCTGCAAGTGACACCCAGATCTTTACCATCAGTTCTGATCTCTTTCCCAAGCCCCAAATCCTCAATTGCCAAGTGCCCGACAGATGTCCACCATCAGGTGACCTACAACCATCCCTAACTTAGACTATCTGAATAGAGCAGCTAACATTCTCTTTCTCTCTTCTCTAATGATAATGCTCATAATTACAAAGAGTTGACACAGGGTTAAGCACCATGGCTATAAACACTATCGTCTCATTCAGTCTTCACCAGAGCCCTACGCTAGCATACGTCCTAATAATAGCTCCATTTGACTGCCCAGAAAATAAGCTCAGTGAGGTTAGCTTGCTCAAAACCATACGCCTTACAGATGATGGAGCTGGGACATAGATCCAGTCCTTCTAACTCCAAAACCTACACTCTACCCAAGCACTTAGGTTCTTTAGAGTGGAGCTACCCATCTCCTAGCTGGACTCTCTGCCCTGATTGCCCCCCAGCCTTCTCAAGAGGATCTGCGGTCAATCCCACCCTTCCCCTTCTCCACCCAGGGATACAGCACACCACAGTGCACAAAATCTCCTGCATCCCCTTGTCTACCCCACACAACAGCTCATAAGGGAGGCATCATCATGTACCTGACCAAAAACGGTTACTAAATTCCTTTTTCCTACCAAATTAAATGCAAATGCTTCAGACAGCCATTTGAGATTTTTCACATTATGACCCTTATTGTCTCTTTGACTCTGTCTCCTACTGCTTTGCTCCAGGCAAAATGGGCTCCTTACTGTTCCCTTAACTAAGCCCTAAAATCCGGTGGACTCTCCATGACTCCTAAACTTCCTACACTTAAAAACCTCTCTCCAATACCTATCATACTCCTTTGGTAACGCTGCTGAATCCCTTGTGGGCTCTAGGCTCTTTAAGGGCAGGAGCAATATGCTCACTCTTGGTCCCTCCTGAAATCTTTCTTGCCTCACAGATTCTGCACACACTGTTCCCTCTAGCAGGAAGCTTCTACCAAGTCCTTTCTTTGGTCTGGTTAACTTCCTTTCTCTTCAGGTTTCAGTGTAAACATCAGCTCCTCTAGGAAGCATTGTCTGAGCCTCCCAAACTCAGACAGTTGTCCCCTTCCGCTCTCTTTGCACTTTGTACTTATCCGTCACAGCATTTATCCTGTCACACTGTCTGCCTGTTTCCTCGTCTGTCTCTCCCACTAGGTTTCAAGAGCTCCAAGATGATTAGATCTATTGTACTCATTGCTAACACCTCAAATACCTAGTTCAGAGTTGGCGACCAATCAATATTTGTTGAATGAATGGATGAATGGATGGCATACCAATTCTCAATAACTGTTTGTTAACTTATATTTAAAAACCTAGGATATTTTCCTGGGAATAGGACTTGCTCGATGGTGAGTACACATTGAGACTGGACTCTCTCTGCAGATCTCTGGAATGGGTTCTGTGCCCCCCGTGGAAAGGAGAGCTGTGTCTAAGGTAAAGCCAAGTGTTGAAGATGGTGAACTGGATCAGATGACTCAAGCCTAATAACTGAAGAATGAATTCTGAATTGGCATGAATTCCAGACTAGTCTGGAGCCTTCCTCCTATAAGGTGAGCTGGAGATGTCCTTCCAAAGAAGAAACTCCCACTTGAAGAGGACCTCATGATTTCAGTATCCCTGAGCATCCCCCCACTCCCAAGGCCTATTATAGTGCCAGGCCCAGAGGATGCCCATTAAACAGCATGGTGGGCCTACCGTCTTCCCGAAACCAAGGATCTCATCCTCCAAGTGCCGCCAGGCCCTGGCTGTGGGGGTCATGATGCAGGTGTTCTCCACAATGGAATAGCACATCACCAGTAAGGCCTCCACATGGGGCAGGTGCAAGAGGCTGCAAGGAGACAGACCTGGTTGGTGGGGATGGGCCAGAGGGCTGGGGCAGAGAGCCACATCCATTCTCTTCCCCTCCCCTCAGACTCTGTTCTTGGTCACACACATTCAGCATGCTGGATGGGGCCTTAGAGGCCTCTGTACCAACAGCCTCTTTTTAAAAATAAGGAACTGAGGTTCAAAAAGGGGAAGTAACTTCCTCAAAGTTGCAATGCTCATCAAGGCCAGAGACAAGACCGGAACTCAAGCCTGGTAGCTCCAAGGGCTCATTCCACTAGGTCACGTAGGAAACGGGCATCTAAGGCAGGACTTAAACCAATGATGGCCACAGACAGGTGAGGCAGGCAGTTGCTAGGTGCACCTGAAGCCCAAGCAGGTCTGAGTGGGTCTGGAGGCAAAGTTGGAAAGTGGGTTTCTCATTCCCAAAGAAGGCAGCAGGAAAGGTAGGGCCAGTAGGGGAGTCAGAATTTCCTGTACCCGCCAGAGATTTGACTTCTCCAAACAGAGTCTCCATTTCCCGCATCACTCATTTCTTCTATTCCGTGGGCAGATCGAATGAGCTCCTGGATGTTCTTCATCATCACAGGTGTAGACTGCACTTCCCGCACCCGGGCAGTGAAGGAGGGAGGGTTGGAAGATAAACCAGCCTGGCGCTTGGGCTCTGAGTCTGTCTGCAGCCCATTCATGGCATTCAGTCCCTCCTCTGTCCCCTGTCCTTCCTCCTGCTTCCCCTCCTCCTCCTCCTCCTCCTCCTCTTCTTCCTCCTCTTCTTCATCTTCCTCCTGTTCCTCTTGCTCCTGCTCTTCTTCCCGTTTGTGTTCTTGCTCTTGCTCCTGTTTGTGCTCCTGCCCTTGACCCTGCTTGTAGTCTGACACTCGCTCCGGCCCTCCCAGGGTCATGGAGGCCTGCAGCAGCTCCTCCACGTTGTTCTTGAGCAGTTCAGGCCAGGGCTGGAAGGCCTGCCGTTCCGTGGCTGTAGCGGGGTTTGGGAGGGACGGAGAAAGAGAAGGGAAGGAACAGTCAGCTTTCTGGCCTCTGAGTGTTTTTGTTCACAGAGGGACACACACATAAACACCAAGGCAGAAGAAAGCAGCCTAAATCATAATTATTCACACAATAATTGTATATACTTGACAAAGTCAAGTATGAAAGACACAGAAAATAATACAAATATCAAAATAATATTACCATGGCGATTGTGGACTTGGTGGTATGTCACCTCTCCACATCCCTTATGAGTGCTCCACTTAACTGCAACCTCAAATACCACCTGTTCCTCCCACTTAGGAAACAGCACGGATTCTGAATCGTTAGCAACTAATCCTTTCTAAACTGAAGATGTCAGCCAAACAAAAGTCCCAGAGGACTTCCAAACACAGGAATGTTTTGGGGAGCTAGGGAAACTGGATTCAGGGCAGACTTGGAAGTAATGCACGAAGATATTCTGGGACAGGAAGTTCTAACTTGTTTTCATAAAAAGCAGTTTCTCCGTTATGTAAAGAGCTTCCTGTCCCCACCTCCTGCCCTTGCTCAACATTCTTCCCTTTCCCTACCGCTGAGGCCTTCAATCCTGGGCTCTGGGATTTGTAGGAGGAGCTGCTTGCTGATTCTGTCTCCTAGGTGCCGGGAGGGTCTCACCTGTGTTGTGGGATGACATGGCGGAGGTCATTGTGCTGGGCTGGGCCTCAGTAGAAGTGTCTATCTCCTTGATAGTGTTAGGTGAGAGAATTGGGACTGGCTGGGAGCATCGAACCCTCTGCAAGAAGAGAAGGAAAGTGGGAATGCCTTTCCCAAAGGGTGGACTTCTATTCCAACTTACTCCTCAGTCCCTTTTCCAGCGTGTCTCCTCCTCTCAGAGTTCCTGGGCAGGAGGAGGGCACACGGTCCCTGGTGGAACCTGAGAAAGGGTTCCCCTGCAGGATAAAACTCCATGTCTTGGCCACAACCCTGCCTTCAGTCTTTAACGTTTGATTTGAATGAAATCACTGACTGTTAAAAGAAATGGAAGGGCTTATCTTTCTGCCTCTTCCCTCCTTTTCTTGCAGTAACGGGTGTTCTGACAGTCTGAATGCCCAAGGTGGGCCTCTATTCATACATAATCTGGGTAAAGGACAGGCAAAGCGGTAGGGAAGGAGGACCTAAGAATGGTGGTCTTGGAACCCTTCCTTGGCTCCTTACTGCCACGGCCTCTCCCCTTCCTCCTGCAACACCAGATCTGCCTTTGTCCTGGGACTCACCTTGGCATAGTACAGGTGGTTGGAGCAACGGTACTGGGTAAACTGGCAGAAGGATTCAAACCAGGAGGCATAAGGGAGGTCAGAGCAAACAGCACCTGGGAAGGGGCAGGGGTGGAGACGGTGAACACAGGGGGGCTCCCTCCCAGAGGGCGCAGTGGGCACCCTGGGTCTGGAGAGCGGAGAATGGGGGCGCAGGGTAAGAGGCCACCCATACCCTTCCCTTGTCTCCAACGAGCACAAATCTGCCCCCCTAGTCGGGCCCTCACCATCGGGCACCAAGCCGTGATTCTCATATTGGTCCAGTTGGACGAGGGTGGGGTTCCGGCAGCCGTGGGTTGCACGGAGGCGGCAGGTGGTCTCTGCCTTCCAGGTAGGGGTCAGCAGAGCGAAGAAGCGTTCATACTCGGTGGACGAGAGCGCGCTCCCGGGAATGGAGGCCGGAACTGAGTCCTGGCCCGGGGCAGCTGACGACGGCGGGAGCAGCACTGCGGGGGGAACAGGCGGGTGGGTGGACCGGACCCCGCCAGGGCCCGCTCCTGGCCCGGGGTGGACCCGGCTGGCCGGCGGAGCCCCGCGTCCATTGGGATCGGGCGTGTCTGGTCGGTGGGGACGCCAGGGACAGACGCAAAGGTGAGCCTTGGGGAGACCCGGGGGGAGTTCAAGTCAGAAGCTGGGGAGCTCGTCCACCGCGCCCTCCGTGAGAAACGTTTCCGAAACAGTAAAGGAAGGGTCCCGGGGGCGGAGGACCCGGCCCGGGACGGGGGACGGAGCAGGTGGGGATCCCTCACCCCGCAGGAGTGAGAGAAGGAAGCCAGCAGCGAGCTTCCTCATGGCCCCAGACGATCGGCCCGCGGTCCCCGGACCCAAGCGGCCTCTAACGGGCCAAGCAGAGGCAGCGGCGGGCGCGGGCGAGCGGGCGCGGGCGCAGGCGGCCCTGACGTCACAAATGGCCGGGGCGGGGCCTCAGAAACTGACGTCCGGTCGTCACGCGTCAGATTTGCGAGGCAAATGTAAGTTATCATTGACGCTGTACCTCTTAATGAGCACAAAACCCAAATATTTATTAGAAAGCTATTAATAACAGGAGCTGGGCATTTTCTTTTAGGTACCTGAGAATAAATATAAATGTCTCCAGGAACATTAATAAAGGATCATATTCTCCTTTAGGTTCCTGTAGGCTTTATTTTCACTTTTATTACAGTAAGCACTTCCAACATATTATTGCAATTGTTTCTTTACGTGTCTGTCTTTCCTTCCTGGACTGCGGGCTTTGCGATGGCAGGGATGGCCTATCTTACTATTCTGTCACATGGCCAGCATTCAGTAAATGGCGGTAGAATGAACGAATGAAGCTGTACTGCTCAACAGGCTGTTGAAGTCTACTGTCTTACAGAGATTGTGCTTATCTTGGTCTTAGAGGAAAATAGGTTTTATTATTTAAAAAAAAATTTTTAATGTTTTTATTGATTTCAGAGAGAAGGGAGAGGGGGAGAGAGAGAGAAAAGTCAATGACACGAGTTATTGATAGTATGCCTCCTGTAGCTCCCTACCGGGATCAAACGGGAAGCCTGGGCATGTGCCTTGACTGGGAATCCAACCGTGACCCCTGGTTCATGGGTCCACACTCAACCACTGAGCCATGCCAGCTGGGAGATTTTATTATTATTTTTCAGATGTCTTTTAAAATTTTTATTGAATTTACAGAGGTGACATTGGTTAATAAAATTATATAAGTTTCAAGTGTACAGTTCTGTAATGCATCATCTGTATGTTGTATTGTGTGTTCACCATCCAAAGTCAAGTCTCATTGAGTCACCACTTACCCACCTTTTACCCTCTCCTACTTCCCCCACCCCCCTTTCCCTCTTATAATCACCATACTGTTGTCTGTCTATGAAGGTGTGTTTTTTTTGCTTAATCCCCTCACCTTTTTCACCCAGCCCCCAACCTCCTCCCCTCTGACAGCTGTCAGCCTGTTCTCTGTATCTATGAGTATGTTTCATTTTCGTTGTGTTTTTTTTTTTGTTGTTCATTAGACTGCACATGTAAGTGAAAGCATATGGCATTTGTCTTTCTCTAACTGGTTTATTTCACTTAGCATAATACTTTCCAGGTCTATCCATACTGTCCCAAAGGATAAAAGATCCTTCTTCTTTACAGCTGCAGAGTATTCCATGGTATAAATGTCCCACAGCTTTTTTGTCCACTCATCTACTGATGGGCACTTGGGCTGCTTCCAAATGTTAGCTATTGTAAATAATGCTGCAATGAACATAGGGGTGCATGTATTCCTTCGAATTAGTGTTTCGGGTTCCTTCAGGTATATTCCCAGAATTGGAATCACTGGGTCGTAAGGCAGTTCCATTTTATTTTTTGAGGAATCTCCATACTGCTTTCCACAGCAGCTGTACCAATCTGCATTTCCACCAACAGTGCACAAGGGTTCCCTTTTCTCCACATCCTCGAAAACACTTATTGTTTGTTGATTTATTGATGACAGCCATTCTAACAGGTGTGAGTTGCTGCTCATGTATTCTTTATTTGCATTTCCCTAATTATTAGTGACATTGAGTATTTTTTCATATGTCTATTGGCCATCTGTATGTTGTCTTGGAAAAGTGTCTATTCAGATCCTTTGCCTATTTTTGAACTGGACTATTGTATTTTTTTTAGTGTTGAGTTGTATAAGTTTTTTATAAATTTTAGATATTAACCCCTTAGCGAATGTATCGTTCGCGAATATGTTCTCCCATTCAGCGGGTTTTTTCATTTTATTGATGGTTTCCTTTGCTGTGCAAAAACTTTTTAGTTTGGCCTGGCCAGCTGTGGCTCAGTGGTTGAGCATCGATCTAGGATCCAGGAGATAGAGGTTCGATTCCCAGTCAGGGCACATGTCTGGGTTGTGGGCTCAATCCCTAGTGAGGGGCGTGCAGAAGGCAGCCGATCAATGACTCTCTCATCACTGATGTTTCTCTCTCTCTCTCCCTTCCTCTCTGAAATCAATAAAGATATATTTATTTTATTTTATTTTTTTGAATTTATCTTTATTGTTGAAAGTATTACAGGTGTCCCATTTTTCCCCCCCAATTGACCCCCAACACCTCGCTCCCACCCCCTCCCCAGGCTTTTACCCCGTTACTGTCTGTGTCCATGGGTTATGCATATATGCATATAACTTCTTTGGTTAATCTCTTCCCACCCTCCATCCCCCTTCCCTCTTCCCTCTTCCCTCTGCCCTCTGAAATATGATCATCTTTTTCATCACTTTCAATATTTCTTGCCACTCCCTTCTGGCCTGCAAGGTTTCTGTTGAGAAATCAGATGACAGACATATGGGTGCTCCCTTGTAGGTAACTAACTGCTTATCTCTTGCTGTTTTTAAGATTCTCTCTTTGTCTTTAACCTTTGGCAATTTCATTATGATGTGTCTTGCTGTGGGCCTCTTTGGGCTCCTCTTGTTTGGGACCCTCTGTGCTTCCTGGACTTGTAAGTNTATTTCAAATAGGTTTTCAATTTCTTGCTCTCTTTCTTTCCCTTCTGGCATCCCAATAATATAAATGTTGGGCTCTTGATATTGTCCCAGAGGCTCCTTATACTATCTTCACATTTCTGGATTCTTTTTTCTTTTTGCTCTT